CAAGTAACATACCGATTGACAAAGGGAATTGTATGCGGGATTACTTGAATCCTCGACATCATGGTTCATTCGATGAGATCATCGTGGAACATGTGGGAGCCAACATGGGTATCCAGATCCCGTTGTTGGTTATTGGCCGGAGAGCTGTCTCGGTCATGTCTGCGTGATTCCCGAACCTGTAGGGTCTACACACTTAAGGTTCGGTGACGCTAGGGTTGTAGAGATATTAGTATGCGGTAACCCGAAAATTGTTCGGAGTCCCGGATGAGATCCCGGACGTCACAGGAGTTCCGGAATGGTCCGGAGGTGAAGAATTGTATATAGGAAGTCCAGTTTCGGCCACCGGGAAAGTTTTGGGGGTCACCGGTATTGTACCGGGACCACCGAAAGGGTCCCGGGGGTCCAGCGGGTGGGGCCACCTATCCCGGAGGGCCCCGTGGGCTGAAGAGGGAATGGAACCAGCCCCTGGTGGGCTGGTGCGCCCCGCTTGGGCCTCCCCCTGCGCCTAGGGATGGAAACCCTAGGGGTGGGGGCGCCTCACTTGGCTTGGGGGGCAAGTCCCCTCCCTTGGCCGCCCCCTCCCTTGAGATTAGATCTCTAGGGGGCCGGCGCCCCCCAGGGCCCCTATATAAAGAGGGGGGAGGGAGGGCAGCCGCACCCTAGTCCCTGGCGCCTCCCTCACCCCCGTAACACCTCTCCCTCTCGCTGAGCTTGGCGAAGCCCTGCCGAGATCGCCGCTACTTCCACCACCACGCCGTCCTGCTGCTGAATCTCCATCAACCTCTCCTTTCCCCTTGCTGGATCAAGAAGGAGGAGACGTCTTCCCCAACCGTACGTGTGTTGAACGTGGAGGTGCCGTCCGTTCGGCACTAGGATCTTCGGTGATTTGGATCACGACGAGTACGACTCCCTCAACCCCGTTCTCTTGAACGCTTCCGCTCGTGATCTACAAGGGTATGTAGATGCACTCCTCTCTCTCGTTGCTAGATGACTCCATAGATTGATCTTGGTGAAGCGTAGAAATTTTTTATTTTCTGCAACGTTCCCCAACATGGACACTTTTTAAAACTACATGGATATTCTTTTTAAAATAAATTCTAAGTTGAATAAACTTTTTCGAAAAACCATGCATAATGTTTCATATTTAAATGAATATTTTATAAAAAAATTAAAATAAAATATGGGAAAACAAAAAACGGCCAACTAAACACCGAAGGGGAAATTAAGTTGCTGGATGAGCGCTCAGTAAGGAAAATCCAGTCAGCTCAGCGAAACAAAATATTGACCCATGAACGAGAGTACCTCTAGAAGACAAGAGCATCTTTTTTAAATCTCACGACCATTTCCTCAAAAATACATGATCTATTTTGAATATTACATGAATATTTTATGAATTTATGTTACAAGATTTTTTTTAAGTACATGCATATTTTTATGAAATTATATTATCACATTTTAAAGCTGTGAACACTTTTTTAAAATTACATGTGTGAATACTATTCATATTACATGATTTATTTTAAAGGTTTGGGCACTTTTTAAACCACAGGAACATTCTTTTAAACATCAATTCTAAATTGCATGAACATTTTTAAAAGACGTGCATAATTTTTTTTTCTATTACATGAATATTTCTGAAAAATAAAATTAAAGTATGTGAAGAACAAAAAAATTGACTTAAAATTGAGGTGAAAATTCAATTGCTGGATGAGTGCTATATAACAAAAAAAAAACTACTCAGTTCAATGGAATTGAATATGTGCGACTATTTTATGTTCACTCAACAATTCCTATTTGAAAAAAAAATCATGAATTTGACAATATGTAGTTTGACTTCAAGGAATGTTCGTGAATTGAAAAAATATTTATGATTTCTAAAAATAACGAATTTAAAAAAATCAGGAAACTTTAAAAAACTTATAAATGAAATGTATAAGATGTTCAAAAGTTGAACAAGTTATATCTAAAAAAACACTCATGAAATTTAATAATTGTTCATGAAATATTAGAACAACTATATTGGTTTCGAAAATGTTCTAAAATTTAAAATATTCATGTTTCCATTTAAGAATAATTATTTAAAAATGATCACAAAATTTAGAAAAAATGATGAATTTAAGGAATATGAAAATATTATAACAATATTCAAGATTTAAAAAAAATGAATTGTTAAGAAATTATGCATGGTTCTTTTAGAAAAAATAAGAGCCTATTTGGGACTGCTCTGCTCCTTCAAATTCAACTCCGCTCTGAAAAATACAAGTCAAACTGGGTAGCTCCATGAGGGAAAATATCTGATCCACCGAAGCTTCTGGTGCTACCGGTGCACCGAACTTACATTGATGTTGAAGGAACATCTTATACATTTTTAGATTTTTGTGACATCATACATTTATGTTGCGGTGACGTGCTAGAATATTTTTAGATTTTTTAAACTACTCTATGTCATCCGGTGCACCGGTAGCACCACGAGTGGGGATGCACTGGATACATTCCCAGCTCCATGATATGCCGCTCCACAAAAAAAACAAAAGCTGAGGTACAACTCCCAATTTTTATGAAGCTCTTTAGCGGGTGCTCCAAAAAACTCTAGAAGCTGGAGTTGGAGGGAAATTACCAACCATTGCCAGCAGTAAGTGGATATCCATTCATTTCTCCCCCGTCATCCAATCAAATAGATCATTTCCTCCCACTCTTCAAGTTGGAGCTAAATGAAAACTAAACATTCTCTTTGGTAGTGAAACTGTGCCTAAGTGGATTTGGTAAAGTGAAACTGATTTTGATAAAGCTGAGTAGTCCCAAACAGGCCCTAAAGTTCAAAGAACGAGGGGGAAAGAAAAGAATGAAATGAAAAGACTAAAAACGAAAAGGAAAAAAAGATAGAAAAAAAGAGAGAAGATATAAATCAGACTAAATAGCATCACATGAGATGGCACAACAACTACGTATTCATGTACGCGTGGTCGCTATTCCACGTGGGATAGATGGACGACCTTTCGAGCGACACTGTGATGGGTCGGGGGAGACTTATATGAGATCTCACATTACGTGAGATCATGAGATCAACCATAAAATTTTATATTCAGACATTTCGTAAAAATATGAAATTATTTGACAACATCCATGTGTGGTATGTCTACAACTCCGAAAAAAATGAGCTCAAAACTCGATGTACATTTGGAGATAAAAAAACAAATTCGAATGTGAATAGTGGTAGCTTGGGTGAATAGTACTTTTACACTATTCACGTCAAATTTGTCTTTTTTGTTTCTACTAATGTAGCACGAATTAGGAGCTGAAACTTTTTGAGGTTAAACATCAACCATTGGTGTGCGTCTATAATTTTTTTTGAGAATGTTTGTACATGTAGATCTTTTTAAAAAATGATCTCATTGATATCATATAATGTGAGCTATCTCACAAGTCTCCCGCGGTATAGGATCTCACATTAGGTGAGATCAAGTTTTTTGAAAATACAAAACGTGTTCAAATATTCTAAAAAAATTGTTGGCACACATCAACCTTTGATGTACAACCTCAAAAAGTTTTAGCTCCTAATTCGACCTCTAGTAATAGAAATAAGAAGGAAAAAATCGAATGTGAACAGTGTCAATATACTATTCACCCAAAGCTGCCACTATTCATATTCAAACTTGTATTTTTTGAATTTCTAAATATACATCAAGTTTTGAGCAGATTTTTTTTGGAATTGTAGACATACCCTGCAGGTATGTTGACAACTAATTTCAGAATTTTACGAAATGTCTAAATACAAAATTTTGTGGTCGATCTCATTGGTCTCGTCTAATGTGAGATCTACATGTTCAAACATTCTTAAAAAAATTATAGACACACATCAACATTTGATGTACAATCTCAAAAAGTTTCAGCTCCTAATTCGACCTATAGTAATGAAAAAAAAAGATAAATTCAGATGTGAAAGTAGTATTCACCCAAAGTTTCCACTATTTAATTTGCCTTTTTTGAATCTCTAAATGTACATCAAGGTTTGAGCTGATTTTTTCCGGAGTTGTAGACATACCCTGCAGGTATGTTGTCAACTAATTTCAGATTTTCACGAAATGTCTAAATACGAAATACAAAATTTTATGGTTGATCTCATTGGTCTCCTCTAATGTGAGATCCCATACTAGTACCTCCCGGAGTATCTATTGGGGCCAATAATCTAAGAGCATCTTCATACCTTGCTGGCGACCGCCCAAGCCAGGGATAGTGAAGATCACGACGGATGGTGCACTTAACATCGCGGAAGGAAGAGGAGGGGCGGGTGGTATAGCCCGTTCCGCGTCCGCGCTGTTGGGATCATGGTGCAAGCTGTTTGTTGAGATCTCGGACCCTTTTTTAATGGAAGCTATATCAATGCGGGAAGGAGTTTTATTTGCAAAGCTTCGAGGCCTCTCGCATGTGATAATGGAGACAGATTGCCAGGAGTTGGTACAACTCTGGAACACTCGCCACAATTCACGTTCGATTGTGGCTCATCTTAGACCAAATAGGAGAGCTAGCTTTTGATTTTTCCTTTTTTGAGATCCAGCATGTAACCAGGTCAGCAAACTTGCCGGCGCATCTCTGTGCAAAACGTGCATGCACTTTGAATGTGACCGACTACTGGCTTGACGAGACTCCTAGTTACTTGGTAAGCAGCCTTCTAGCTGATTGCCGGGACAACTCTTTTGTTGAATAAAGCTCTCTGATTTGCCCGCAAAAAAAAAACTTGCTGCCTAAACTACAATGACCCAAATAGATGGTTTATTGGCTTCTGTATAGAAGCCTCGATGCTCTACACCATCCAAGATCCATCATTTAGCAATGCTGGCACAAATCGCATTTTATTTCATGAAATTAAGAGGCGTTACATTACTTCATCATCCCTAAGAAAACACTCCAAAATTACACAAGCATTCGTGTGGGAGCAGCAACAGAGCAACATATAGCAGTAGAGTTCTTGTAAATGCTTCAGGATTTCACAGCAAGTCGCGTCAGAGGTCGAGGAGCTGGCAGTTCTCCCAGAGCGTCTTGGCCGAGCGCCGGAGCTGCGCGGCCTCGGCCTCGGTGAGGTCCATCTCGGCGACGCCGAGGATGCCGCCGCGGCCGAGGCGGGCGGGCAGGCTGAGGAACACCTCGTGGCCGTCTGAGATGCCATGGAAGCCCGAGGCAAGGACAGAGACAGGGTGCACGCGACGCTGGTCGCGGAGGAGGGAAGCAGCGAGGCTGGCAACAGAGTAGCCAATGGCCCAAGAGGTGTACCCCTTGAGGCCGATCACCTCGTAGGCGCCGCCCACCACGGCGCGCCGGATCCCCTCCAGCGCCGCCTCGTCGAAGTTCCGGTGGCTGTCGCGCAGCGACTTGAACGCCGGCATCCCGCCCACGCTGATGCTTGACCAGATCGCCACCGAGCTGTCGCCGTGCTCACCCACCATGTATGCCTGCACATGGACCCATTTGCTTTGCTTGGTTAGTTGGTGATCATTTTCCAGTACTCTATTATCAATGAGCATGCATCTCCATTCTCTAACTGTGATAAAAATTCAGTCTTACAACACATTCAATCCAATGTTGATTAATTTTCTGGGAGGGACAAAAACTCATCCCTAGATCCAGAATTCTCAGATTACACTGGTACTCCATCACATTACTAGGGGAATTGGGTACCATACAAAAGAACTCAAATTCTTTCTGAAAAGAGATGATTTATAGCTTGATACCGATAGGTAAATATTCTATGTGATATTGATGCATTATAAGATTAATTATCTCAATTCGGCTTTTCCATGATCAAATTCAGTAAACACTAGCTAGTTGTGTTCAAAACAAGACTGAACTTAGAGAATGACACTATACCACATGGTATTTGATTTCGTCATCCAAAACAAATATATATATATATATATATATATATATATATATATACACACACACACACTAGTAGCAATTTCTGATATACGGAGTACATTAGGAATTAAAAGACAGTTTCTTTGCCTTCAAGTACCATCACATTTTTCAGTTACGGACCATTTCCACCAAAAAAAATTGTGTAATGTTCTTAAGTAGATTTCACCTGTAATGTCAAATTGTCAATGTAATTTCCAGGTACCGCATTTACCCAGCCATCTAGTCTTGTATTCATATGAACAGAGTAGCTAACGATCACCAGACATATGATCTAAGGAGTAACTATCCACCCACGGACCCACCAAACAAACGAAGAAAGTCTGGCTTGTTCGGGAAAAAACAACACTAAGGCTTTGTTCGGTTAATCCTCTCCCCAAGAGGATTGGAGGGGATTTGCAAGGATTGGTTCATGTTTTGACTTAGAAGAGGTTTAAATCCCCCTCAAACCCCTTCAATCCACTCGGATTCACACGCAACCGAACAAGGCCTAAAGATTGCAGGTAAAAAACCCTCTTTCATGGTTAGTACTCCCTCTGTAAAGAAATACTTTCTGTATGAAGAGTGTTTAGATCATTATTACTTTAGTGATCCAAATGTTCTTATATTTCTGTATGAAGGGAGCAATTCTGTAAATCAAACATCAACAGATACTGAACAGAACCCAAGTTTACTGAAGTTGTTATCTAAGTTTCAAAAGTCACAATAATTTCCAACTACCGCGCTCACCCAGCCATCCCATAGTTAATTGAACATATGAACAAATTAGTACTCCCTCCGTCCGGAAATACTTGTCGCAGAAATGCATAAAAACGGATGTATCTAGAACTGAAATACATCTAGATACATCCATTCCTCCGACAAGTATTTCCGGACGGAGGGATTAGTAGGTATCAATCCACCAAACACATGATCCAAAAGTACGTAATCAACAAGCCTGGCCGTTCGAATAAAAACAACATAACGTACTACTACTACTGAATGTCGACACTGGACACTGTCGCATGGGGAGACCAGTCAAGGACGGGCACATGCTCGCACGGCGCCACCGCCGCGTGGCATCCCTACTGAGCAGTGGCGGAGCTTGAAAGAAAATGCTGGGTGGGCCAGACTAAACAAGAGCACAATTTTTTTTGAAATTCTGAATCATAAGCATCAGTATGATTACCGGATGGAGCAAGCAGTATGTATATATACAACAAAATACATTTTAACCCTGAACCACTATTAAGTTAGCTAATACAAAAGCTTTGAGACATTAGACATGTGACTTACTCACATACTACAAATCGACTCTCCGGTCACCCTTGCTTCTAAAATCTGCAACGACATCTTCGTGGCTGTAGTTCTCTAGAATTCCACCCTCTATGTGAACTAACAGATTATTGGCAAGATTCTCATCTTCCAGGGTCTCGCTGCACGCTGCAAGAACTCAATACCTTCGAATGTAACAGCTTCATTTGCTCGAACCTATTCGTACTGGTTTTGGTTATGTTGTTCCAATTCAAGCAACGGCAATATCTGGTTTTCCTGAACTCGAGTTATGTCATCTCTTTTCCTTTTAAAAACCAAATCAATTCTTCTCTGAGATTGATTTTCCTTGCCCATGATTACCTGTGTTGCAATTTGTATAAGATCAGGCTATTCACTTTCTTATCAAATGGACACAACTATTTTTTATCAACAGTTCAACACTGGACACTCAAAACAGATGAATAGTTGGCGCTAATGGTTAGAAATCCCACTGGACACTCAACAGTCAACAGAATTCTGTACAGGTGGAATTCCATATGGATAAAATCTGTTTCTTATAAACACTGGACACTGAAAATAGATGAGTTCATGACTCATAAGTAGATGTAAAGAACTGATCAAAAATGATAAAATGGGGAATTACCTCTTGCTTCTGACAGTTGCTCTACTCTTGGAGGACAGTAGGAGACTGGAGACTAGGAGAGCTCATCCAGTGATCTGCTCATGCGTCAGTCGCCAGAAGTGGTTCGGCAGGCCGCAGGCCAGTAGCACGACGGCGTGGCCGAGCCCAAGCAGATGTCATCTGTGAGCAGGTGCAGAGAGTCGGGGGAAGGGAGGAAAGCAAGGGGCTGAACCGTGGCTGTGAGATACAGGGATTCCGGCGAGAGAGGATAGACGCTGTCGGTTCGCCGACGGCAGCGGCTTGCTCCTGTGCTCCCTGCTCGACTGTGGGACAGTTTGGGAATTAGGGAGTAGGGATTCCTAGCGCTGCCTGCCTCTCTCCGGCTGCTCTGTGCGTGTTTTTTTGAGCAAGGCTGCTCTGTGCGTGAAAGCGAGAGGATGCACGTGGGCTGGGCTAGTGGGCTTGGGAGATGCCTATATAAAAAAAATTGGGTCAAAATCCTGGGCGGGCCATGGCCCGGTTTAGCCCCTACAGAGCTCCGCCCCTGCTACTGAGTACTGACTCATGGATGGAGCTCCAATCCGGCGACGAGCTCGATCGAGCTAATGAATCATGGATTGAAGGATGGATTCATGGATGGATTCAGGAGTGATTTAGTACCTGCACGTCCTGCGCGTTGACGTCGAGGTGCTCGGCGATGAGGAACCTGAAGCGGGAGGAGTCGAGGTTGGTACCGGAGCCGATGACGCGGCTGGCGGGGAAGCCGGAGAGCCTCCATGCGACGTAGGTGAGCACGTCGACGGGGTTGGAGACGACGAGCAGCAGCGCGTCCTGGGAGTGCTTGGCGACGGGCGGCACGATCTTGCGGTAGAGGGCGACGTTCCGCTGCAGCAGGTTGAGCCTGGTCTCGCTGGGGATCTGCCTGGCCCCGGCCGTGACGATGACGAGGTCGGAGTTCTTGGTGACGGCGGCGTCGGTGCCGGAGACGATGCGGACGCGCGGGAGGAAGGCGGCGGCGTGCTGCAGGTCGAGCGCCTCGCCGCGGAGCTTGTCGGGGAGCGCGTCGACGAGCGCGATCTCGTCGGCCAGGTTCTGGGTGAGGATGGTCTGCGCGATGGCCATGCCCACGTTGCCGGCGCCGATGACGGAGATCTTGGTGAGGCGGCGGTGCGGGACGGCGGAGGAGGTCGGGGTGACCGGGCAGCCGTCGGCCACGGGCCGGAAGAAGCCCGACGACGCGCCGCCGGAGTCGAAGCCCAGCTCCGACAGCGACGACGCCTTGTGCATCCTCCTGGACGGGGTGGGGATGGGATGCCGGTCGAGGGGATCAAATGCGGGGCTGCCGGACTGGGATTGGACGGTGAACTTGTTCTTGGTGGGGAATGGAATGGGAATGGCCAATGAGTTTATAAGCGAATCCTGGGAAAGTGAAACCGCTTATCGGTTACCGGTTTTGACTAGTCGTGGTTTGGGACTTCACTTTTTTGATGGAAGGACGGGAAGAAAAGTATACCGGGATTATTTTACTCGGGCAGTTGTGCTGGACAATGCCTACCGGCCGACTTCCGCGTCCACGTACCGCCTCGCGCGAGTCGCCACCTCAAGCCCACATAGCCATCTCGAGTATTTGAAAAAAAAAACTACTCCTTCAGTTTTAAAATATAATGCTTCCTCTATTCACGTGCTTCAATTTGAAACAATAACACCCACACGTGTGGGCGTTTCCCAACTCACCCGCACGCCTGAATCGTCGTTCATTGCTGTTTGCACGAATCTTGACATGAAAAGGTGGATTTGGTTTGCCACGTAGGACAAGTCCCGTGTGTGGCATGTAGGCAGTTCGTCCGCATGCCTGTTTTTCCTCCGAGGTCAGCGTTGTGAGTCGGGGCGTGCGGTGGAACTGCCGTCGCGCCCGCACGCCATGCCCGACTGCGGTTGCCGTCTCCCACGACTTACCACTCGCGCTCCCCTCCTGGTTCATTACTCCCCTCCCATTCATTACTCCCCAACCCACCATCCACACCAGTTGCATTCGATTGAGGAGAAACCGAGAGGAGAAGGTGACGGCGGCGGCGGAAGAGTCGACCGCATTCACAGCCGTTGGTGGGGTTCGCCGGACCGGAGCGTCGTCGCCAGGGCAGCAACAGATTGAAGGTAAGGCTTCCTTCGTGCTCACATTCCTGCCTGCGATTTCTGCCGCCCTCCCATCTATGGTCAATCTTCCCTCGTGTTTCCTCAAGATTTCGGCCGATTCGCGGTGCTCCGGCGTCCTCGTCGGCGGTGGAGTCGCGTGCTTGCCATTTAGAGTGGCATTGCGCAGTTTCGTCGCCGCGGCGGCGGCAGTCATGCCGGTGTAGCTCGCCTGGTCCGCGGCCGCATCTATATATTGCCTGTGTTTTGTGCGGGGATTTTCTAGATGTTAGTTCTGATTTTGCCTCGAAATGCTATGGCCATCAGTGTAGGGCGTTTTTTGTTGTTGAATTCAGGGCATGATTGTTGCGATTGAACCCTAGATCTAGTTAGGTGCATTTCAAATTGTAGGATAATGACAGTCATGGCATTTTCATCAACTACCATCACTGATGGCAACTAATTTTTTGAATCAACCGTGCACGGCGCACGTCCTCTGAAGGTTGGGGTCGCCGGCGGGTTCGCGGGATGCAGCACGGGCACGACGGCATCCCCCTGGACTGCTGGACCGAGGGGGCTTGGAGTCTCCGAGCTGCGCGGGCCGAACTCGGGATGGCCATGGCGCTGGAGCTCCTGTAGAGGTACAGAGAGATGAGGAGATTAGGGAGAGAGAGATGCAGGGAAGAGGGAACAGAAGGAGAGGGCCGCGAGGGGCTGGCCTGGTGGTCAACGGCGGCAGGGAGCTCCTCTCCCCTGATTCGGGTGCGAGCTCCTGGATAGGGGCTCGGGCAGAGGCTGGCAGCGAGGTGAGGAAGGGGAAGGTTTAGACGGCTGCTGGATCGAGCGAGGGGATTGGCTCGAGGAGGAGCGGTGCTGGGTGGATCAGATCTAGGAGGATCCCGAGAGAGAAGTGAGTTGGTCAGGTGGCGGCAGAAGGAATGGGATGGATGGGACAGATCCTAGTTTTTAGGGTTAGGTTGTTTAAGTAGCTGGGTGGACTAGCTTAGGGGCAAAATGGAGCCTCCGATTAAAATCCAACGGTCGAGAAAAATATAGGTAGGGAGTCCAAATAAGAAAATGGAGATGTTTTCGGGATGTTTGGGGATGATTCGGATCCAACAGTAACGACAGAGCGGGTCGGGTTCGGCGGAGTTTCGGACGCGCGCGCGAGGGGCTGCGAGCTGGCAAGAGAGGGTGGACATTTAGACGAGAGGGGAAAACAAAGACAATGGGGTCCGACGAAAGGCCACGGGGACAAGGCGGGGTTTTGTTGGTCTCGGTGAAAGAGAGAAGAGAGGGGGTCCAATTGGTCTGAGAGAAGGTCAACAAGGACAAGCGGTCTAACAAGAGGGAATCGAAAACCCGGTCGGTCTTAGAACGTACAATGGAGAGAACGATGGAACCAGAACGGATGCAAGTTTTGAAAAACATGCAGATGAATTGCAGATGAAGTGCAGATGATGACATGAGACGAGATGCATAACAAGAACGAAATGCAAAACAACAAATAAAACCCAACCACGAAGGAAATATCATATAGCATCTCCGGAAAAGGCAAGAGTTGGAGTTACGAATATGGAAAGTTGCATCCGGGGCGTTACAACACTCCACCACTACGAGAGGATCTCGTCCCGAGATCTAGGATGGCACCGGAGGGAAAAGGAAGAGGAAGAGAAGAGGTAAAACTAAGTTGCTTCTTCGACAAACGAGTGAAACCATGAACCTTGAGAGGTTGAGCAAAATGAAAGAAAGAAAACAACAAAGATGAACGAGATTGCAAACAATCCGTTAGAAAAGAGGAACAAGGAACATTACGATAACTTGAAGGTTGAAAATACATGAATCAAGAGTTTAATGGACAAAATAGAATTCGAAACCACTCCGGTTAAAACAAGATGAGAGAGGAAGAATTTGGTCAGCACTCCGGTTGAACATGGAAGGAATAGAACATGAACTTGAGAAGATGGGAAGATACTTGATGAAATCAACAACACACTGCCTCCGGAACTATTGAAAGAGTGGCATAATGGGTAAGAAACATTTCAGACAGCTCTCCGGTTGAAAAGAGATGAAAGACTTGATAAGATGAAAGAACTTGAACAGGTGACACAACACTCTGGTTAAATGGAGAAGCAAGGAGAAGAACATGATCCTCAGAATTGGAGAAGATGAGTGAAAAGAGCAACATCACCATGCCTCCGAAAGAAAGAATAGAAGATAGATCATTGAAAAAAAAGGAATGGAGAAGAAAATGCCAACTTCTGCCAGAAATGAGCTTGGAAAGCATCCTTGCAAAGAAGAATTGAACGGAATTCTTGCAAAATGAACAACGAAAAGCACAAGTTTGTTGTGGGCTTATGGCAAACATCTCAAAACTTGAGGTGAAATTCTGCCACTAACGAAAAACAATTGCTTGTTTGAGATAAACGAAGAAATGAAAAACCTCTTTCACCGAGAAGGATATGGAGAAAGCTTGGATCAATTATAAGCACCACAAATAGCAACATTCCCAATGGAAGGCTTTAGGTGAAATCTATACCAAGATAACTCCAAAGAAGAAGTTGATTGGTCGAAAAGATCTCTTGAACAAAGGGAAAATGATGGATTTAAAATACCTCATTCTTGACAACATATGAATCATGAAACACGAACGCAAAATTATCAAGAATGACATAACACCACCTCAAGTGATAAGGTAGAAAGAATTGCACTTTGGAATGCAAGAAGAAGAAACACTTGAACTCCTCAAAACAAGACATGTGTTGAGCACCATGTTTATTTTGAAGTATGGCTTGGCGGATCATAACTTCGAGAGAAATCTTGAAGAACAATTGAAGAATGAATAGAATCCTTGACGAACCATCATGTAGAGCCACCATGAAGAACTCCGGTAATGAAAGGATGATAGAAAGAAAGAGAGGTTGAAAACACAAGGTGAAACCTTGCGATGATTTAGATGGAGCTTTGCGACGATATAACCGAGAGAACTTGGAAGTCCGGAAAGAAAAGATGAATACTAGAACCGAGAATTACTTCATCATGAACAATCTCCGGAAGAAAAGAATTGAATCACCTCGAGGAAATAAGAATAAGATTTATTGCATGCTTATCCTTCATCAAATTTAATTGATGACAAGCAACGGATTTGGCATACAACTTATTCTCGTAGAAAGGATTAAGAGAGATATAGCACAAACTTGAGAAGGTCTTGATGGAACCACCGGTGGGATTGAAACAACGAAAGAATGGATGAATTGATACGATAACGAAGAAAGTGAAATCTTGAACGAACCATCGAAAGAATCGTAAATGAACATAGCAAAGGCACAATTCACCGGGAAGAATTGGAAAAACGAATGAAGATACTTGAGGGGATTTAAATACAAGAGAACAAAGAGATCACGAGCTGATTAGAGACCACTTGAGCGATGCACCGGTAAGATATGGAGAAGGAGAGCTAAAAGCTGAGAATGAATAATTCTGAGATGATGGGCCACAGAGAATCAATTTGAAAAGACTCTTGAATTGCTCCGGATGGGTGAAAAGAATTTAAGAGAGCCATGAATCTTCGAGAGAAGGGACAAGATTTAGAGGAAACACTTCTTCGGTCTTCACATGTTGAGAATGATGACGAGAACCACCAAAATTACTGAGATACTCCGGTATGATGACAAGCGAAGAGGTTGAGCCAACAATGAAATGATTTGAAATCGATCTTGGAAAGGCATCTGACTGATGATAATTCATTCTTACGTCAAACTTCGAAAGACTTTGGGAATGGCTCCGGGAAAATTAGAAGAGTCAGGTAAGATCCTGGGAAAAACCTGTGGGTTATGGGTGAAGGAAATATGCCCTAGAGGCAATAATAAAGTTATTATTTATTTCCTTATAATCATGATAAATGTTTATTATTCATGCTAGAATTGTATTTACCGGAAACATAATACATGTGTGAATACATAGACAAACATAGTGTCACTAGTATGCCTCTACTTGACTAGCTCGTTAATCAAAGATGGTTATGTTTCCTAACCATGAACAAAGAGTTGTTATTTGATTAACGAGGTCACATCATTAGTAGAATGATCTGATTGACATGACCCATTCCATTAGCTTAGCACCCGATCGTTTAGTATGTTGCTATTGCTTTCTTCATG